GTGAATCGCCCTGGCGTGGAGTATTAAGCTACTAGGAACAAGTGCATGCCCTGGACGGCTTCAGCGCGGGACGTGATGGGCCTCCTTCCGCCGTTCTACACCGCGCGCTTTGTGGAGATTCGCAGCCCGACGTTGAGCCTCTTGTGGCTGTCCCTCGGCCAGTGGGTTTTGCAACGGATGATGTGTTAGGAAAGGGTCATGAACACACAGAACATGTTTATAATTTTTTTGTTTGGGCTCAGGGTTTTGTTTGAGTTTGTGATGGGGGGTCCAAATTTTCAAGGTTTTTGCAGGGCAGACTGGCCTGCAGCATTGGCCCTGTGCATCCCACAGTGGCCGATTGAGATGGGTCATTCTTGGACTAAGGTTATGCGGGGGCATCGTCGTTCTTTGGACTTTGCTGGTTTCCCTCCTGGGTCAGCATTCGTATGTGGAACGGCATGTGCCCAACGTGGATGTTGCATTTTGGCAGGTGGTTTGTTGCTTGGGGCAGGGGAGTGCAGACGGCCCATGGTTGGCATACTGCTACGTTCGGATGACATTTGGCCAACGTGAGTGCTGCATCCCGTTGCCGGAGGGAAATTTGATTATACAATAATTGGTTGATGGGCGATTTTCCTTGCTTTTTGGTTCAAGATTTTGGCTTAGTTCATGGCAGACAGACACGCAAAAAAAAAGACAAAAAAAACAAAACACATTGATTCGTCATTCGTTGTTCAATCCAAACACCTCCTCGTCCAGTTGCACGACCCCACCCTACCAAAAACAACAAACTAATCATGAAAAATGAAGGGGCATTTACTTTTGTAGTTTGCTCTCCAAGTGATTCAAAGGGTCCGTCCAAATTCATCGTTTGGGTTGTCCTTTTTGTTTCCGACTTGCCTTCCGTTGGGCAGCCGGGCATGGATTTTGACGACTTGGACGATGAAATCGAAAAACGGGTGCAAGATGGTGAAGAGGTCGCCTGCCACGTGGTGGAGAACCAGCAGCCTGTGAAGGGTACAGTACTTCGTTGGGATGATTCAGGGGTTGGATTGGGGTTGGAGACGGGGATGCCCTGGACAGGGTTGGACTGGGAGCGGAGAACGGTTGCTGCACCAGTAGTTTGAACACTTACTACTTTGTTGGTGTAGGGGCCTTTCACCGAAAAGTGCGCTTGACCTGGACCTCTTCCCGCTGCGGAAGGAGCCACTCGTGACCTCCATGAGGTGCTGCCTTTGATGACCCGCAGTACCAAACTCCCGGACTTCAGCCGTCTCCCTGCGGCCAAGAAGAAGGCCTTGCCGCCTTACAACGGTGAAGCGGTGCCCGAGCGGTCGCCCAAGCTCCGGCTGCTGTGCATCCATGGCGCCGCCGACAGCGACTTGGCTCTTGACGAACAAAATGACCATGTTCGCTGGGCTTCGGGCTTGGATTCTCGCATCGTTTCACCGGATGGAGCAGGCTGCACAATCCGCTCTCAATGGTTCTCCCTGGCAGCTAGCACCCGCGCACAGTTTTGGTGAGCACCCACTCGCCAGTTTGACTCCTTTCTACTGCTGTTCATGTACATAGAGGGCCGACATACGTCCTGGTTCCTTGGTTCTTGTTCAAGTTTCAGGTGGATCAAACACAATAAACATCCCCTTGCCTGTAGTATCCCTGGTTTCCTCGTCCCCTAGTTCGTGGTGTTTGGTCCTTTGTAATGTTTTCTTTCTTCCGCTGGTCCGGTGGTCGTGTTTGTTTCTTCGTGGCCTTTGGCTCCTTCAAGTGCATCCACAAGCCAAAACCAACGGTCTTGGGGTGTTGTGTTCGTTTTGCGAAAAGACGCCGGATTTGCGCAGCGAATTAGTTTAGGGCAATTTGCGAGTTCCAGGAGCGAGCATTCACGAACCGTCCTAAGTTTTTTAAAGTCAACCCACTGTATGCACCCTGCCCAAAAAAACCGCCTCCTTTGGATTCAACACCGCCATTTTACATTTTATGTATGGTCTCCGATTTTCATCTGCCGCCGTGCTACCCTTTTCTTGTTTCCCAGTTCTTGTCACCGTAGATTTTTGCAACATTTACATGAGAGCATAATATGAGAGAGAACGCATGAGGGCACGACTTTAAAAACATACGCATGAGTGGATCAACAAAGCGCTGCGCGTGCCGCAAAAGTTTGCACTTCGAGGTCCTCCAAATGCTGTGCCTACCGCGAAATCGCAAATAATACAAGCTTCGCAAAACGTGGTGCCTGCCACGAAAGTGTACTGCATGGGAATATGTTTTGGACCCTGTGTTTTTAGTCTCTTTGGTATCCTTGGATGTTTCTTGATGCAATTTTGTTGATCCCTCACGTTTTTGTCTTTCTCGGATGGAAGGAATGCGAGGGAATTCGTAGTGTTCTTTGGAAATGGCCAGTGTTGTGCTGTTGCATTCTTTTTTTTCACACTTCCTTTTTTAACTTAGCCGGAAGAGTTTGGGTATATCAACAGTCCCGTCTTCCATGTTCACTGCCATTGAGAGTGTTTGCTGCTTCCTTGACAATCGTCCATGTGATGATTTACCAGTTTCACTTGTAGGCAGGAGTGCAACCCTTGGTGTTGTAGTGTTTATGGTGGAACTCCTTAAGATCAATCTCCTTGGTCTATTCCTCCATGACTATCGGGTCGACCACTTTGCACCCGTTGGCTGCCACCGGGTGCCTGGTTCCGAGGCTACGCCGCCGAGTGGTGCGTCTTGGAGAATGAGGCGCCTCCGAATATCGAGGTGGCCGTACATGAGTTTCCGGGCCACGGGCATCGAGATGATGAAGACTTCTGCACTACCTTGGATCAGCTGGTGGACGATTGTTTTGATGCCTTCCGTGGCTTGGACGATGGTTTTGGTGCCGATCCATTGGCCGTACTTGTTCAGGTTCAAGCTCCATGCGGTGGAAGGTCGGCCGGAAGGATCGTCCAAGCAGCCTCACAGGCACCAAGCCTCCGCAATCATTTAGATAGATAGGTAGATAGATAGATAGATAGATCTAGAACTCCATTGGGTTTGGGCAGATGGGCTTCACACGGATCCATCTCCTTGAAGATCCCAGAAGTAGATGGAAAGAACACATGTGATTTCCCTTCGGAACATTTGCCGGATGCTTGGAATACATTTTGGACTGTGGCTGCTTGTGTTGATGTTCTTCCAATTGGCATCCAATCGACTTCTATTTTGGAAAGATAGCTCAAGTACCAAGCTTAGGCGGACGGGCAAGCACCGGGCAACCTGTCCCGCCCAGCACCACTCTCACTCCAAGAATCATTCAATCCATCCATGTGGTCCATCGCTCCATCCTCATCCGATCCTATCCTCAGGCGATGCCATGAACACGGGGGCCTTTGCCTTTCTGGGCCATTCGATCGGAGCATTGATGGCCATCAAGGTGGCGAAACGAGCCAAAGCGGAGCTGGGAGTGGAACCAGTCTTTGTGGCGACCTGGCGGGCAGAGGCAGCCAGAGAGCAGGATGGGAGTTTTTACAGAAGGTGGTTGAGTGTGGCAAGAACAGTGGACACGTGAAGGGAGGATGAACACTCAATTTATGTATTTTTTGTATGAGATGAACCCGACATTTTGGAGGGAACAGGAGAGGTGCTCGTGTTTGCCGACTGCTAGGTTTAGAAATTCAATTCGGTCGGTGTTCAGATCCTTCTGAGATGGAAGGGTTGCAGACCAACTACGATTTCATTCACTAGCCAGGTGCCGACGTCTAGCCAATACCCCTCCCAAAACTCCAAAAGGACTTGAAAGATGAGAGAGACCCTTTGGCACGTTTTTGTCTGTACTGAAGTGACACGGTCCGAGGAACCTTGCCTAAATGAATCACTTTCTTTTGGATATCCGGATGAGTTCTATTTCCGGGCTTGGACGGGTGGGGCGGCTGAATTTTCGATTTCAAGAGCCCGGTTGCGAACCAGAAGCTCCATCTTCTCTTCGGCGCAGGGATGGCCGGCCCACCAGTAGCACCACCAGGAAATCACCATTTTCTGGTCTGATTCAGACGTTTCTGAGAAAATAGACGACGATCCTGTGGTTGCTTGGACCGATGACCGCACCAAATCCGCATAGCCAACCACAACACCTTTCCAGAGAACCAACGCTTCCATGGAGTCGCTCCCGACGTCGCCGCCCGAGTGGCTCGTCGAGTCGCTGCCGACTCCTCGGGGGCCCAGGTGATGCTCGAGCGTGGGGCCGCGGAGTTCCCACTCTTCACGGAGAAGGGCGCGCAGTGGCTCCGGGAGGAGCCAGCGTGAAACGATTCCCCAGGAAGCTCCTAGCTACGTTCGTAGCTTCTTGTTCCTAATAGCGATGGCCTCCACCTAGTAGCTTCTAGACCTTGGGGAGGGGGAGAAGGTGGAAGAAGGGCGCCCCGGGTGGCTGGGCGGGCGGGTTGGTTCGCTTTCTGTTTCTGGTTGGAAGGACGGGTGCATGAATTGAGGGATGGAGACTCATGGAGATGGAGGGTTGTTTTCTGCGGTCCGCGTGTGCAGTCGGCCAAGTCAGGAGCCTGTGAGCTTCTTCGAAGTGTGGAACCCCACAGCCACCTGGACTGAAGAATGGTTCTAGGACCCTTGGGATGGCACAGTAAGATTGGACGGAGGGCACCATGGTTCATGGTATTGACTGGGAGCAGGTAAGTGTTCCTCCTGCAGGTTTCTGAGGGATAGACTTCAGCTGACCCACACGTCTCCAAATATCCATGATAGGATATGATGGGGATGACTTAGAAGGTGCACCAACGGCATTTGGACTCACCAAACCCTCCAAACGCCCCTTTTGAGAGGCCGTAGGTAGGTTGGCATGCAGCTTCGAGAGGCTGTAGGTCCACTGTAGGTTGGCAACCTCGGGGCTCAGTGACCCTGCAAGTGTCAATGAAATGACTCGAGACACCATGTTGGCAACCTACCAACCTGATTCACCCTCCAAGTGTCCAGCAAGTGCCTTCGAGAGGCCATAGGTTGGCAACCTACAGGGCTCAGTC